CTTAGTCCGTGACGTTCCCACTCGCTCTGAAAAACAGGTGTTGGCCGATTCGAGTCGGGAAGTGGGTGTTGTCCCCCGCCAGTTGTGATCGTGATCGTCGGAGGAGGTGAATGGAGGGAGGATCAGTAGGAACAGTGTGAGACAAAACACGCGCTCGGACGTCGCTGCCGTGTGCGCCCTCGTTTGCCTCGTCATCGCCACCGCCGCATCCCACGCCCGCAGATCAGCATGCCTCCAGGTGCCTGACCCCGCTGCCTTGTGTTCTTCAAGGCATTCCTCTCCCAGCAGCAACCCCCCCTTCCCACCCCCCCAGCTCATTCGCTGTTCCGCTGCTGCATCTCACTTCACACCTCCTCCCCCGTCGCCCGCCGTCGCCCGCCAGGTCCGGAGCGTCGCGTGGGCGGTCGCCTGCCGTATGGCTCGTCGCACGCCGCCATGTCGTACGGCGCGCCGTTCGTCGCCACCTCCGCGCCCAAGCCGGAGCCCACTGCGCGCCAAGCGCCGTCCGCGGAACGATCGCGCGGCGACGGGCTCAGACGCCCCGCGAGGGTGGCGCGGCGGGCGCGGATGGGGGGAGGAAGGGCGCAGCAGGGGGGAGGGTTGCTATGCGGGTGCTGCGCGTGGTTTGGCGCGCTGTGCGCGCGACTGCGGCCGTCGCGGAAGGCGAACTGGCCGTACGCGTTAGTGAGTGTTGTGTTTGTGGCGCTGGTGGCGTCCGAGCAGATCGCCCCTATGCTGCCCTCCACTGCGCGCGCAGGGGGACGCGCGGAGGACGAGGCGGTGAGCGGACCGCTGACGCGGATAGTGAGGTGAGGGGGAGGGGAGGTTAGGAAAGGAGCAGGGGAGGAGAGGGGGGAGGGTGGGGGTGGGGTGGTGGTGTCGAGGGTGGGGGCTGGGAGGAATAGTGGGATGGGGAGTGAGTCTGGAGAAGGGGCTGTGGGGTAAGGAGGGCGAGAAGGGAGGGAGGGGGAGAGAGCAAGGGGAAAACAAGTGTGGCGAGCAATTGCATGTTGCTCGCTTGAGTGCCTCTGTGGCGTTTCAAGCACTGTATAGTTCTGCTTATGGTTGTGTGTCTGCGTTGTGTATGTGTATGTGTATGTGTATGTGTGAGTGTGTGTGCCGCCATGTGTGTATGTATGTGTGTGTGCATGCATGTGATGTGAGCATGGCGCAGTAGCATGTGGGGGCGACAATCACCTGCCGCACCCTTCAACGCCAGCAGCACAAGCAATCACAGCAGCAGCAGAAGCAGCAGCGAGTTAGCAGGAGGGGCCAGAGGCGCAGAAGGTGGGGCAGAGGGAGAGGCGGGTGGAGGAGGGGAAGAAGCGGCAGGTGAAGCGGAGGAGGAGACAGTGGGGCGAGGGAATCGCGGGGCGGCAGACAGTAAGGAGGAGTGTTCCGAGTGCTGGGCGGAGGTGGATCGGCTGAGGGTTCTGCAAGAGAGTGAGTGATGCCACATGTGTGTGCAGGTCGCTTGCCTCCACCTGTCACTCGCCCATTTGCCCGGCCCACTCGCTATGATTGCTGTTGTCCTCCTCCTGCACTGATTGCGTCTTCTCTCCATGGGTTTGGTCTCCTCTTTTGAGTCGACTCAAAAGTCAACTCTCCATGGGTTTGGTCTCCTTTTTACGATTGTTCTCCTCTTTTGAGTCGACTCAAAAGTCAACTCTCCATGGGTTTGGTCTCCTTTTTACGATTGTTCTCCTCTTTTGAGTCGACTCAAAAGTCAACTCTCCATGGGTTTGGTCTCCTTTTTACGATTGTTCTCCTCTTTTGAGTCGACTCAAAAGTCAACTCTCCATGGGTTTGGTCTCCTTTTTACGATTGTTCTCCTCTTTTGAGTCGACTCAAAAGTCAACTCTCCATGGGTTTGGTCTCCTTTTTACGATTGGTCTCCTCTTTTGAGTCGACTCAAAAGTCAACTCTCCATGGGTTTGGTCTCCTTTTTACGATTGTTCTCCTCTTTTGAGTCGACTCAAAAGTCAACTCTCCATGGGTTTGGTCTCCTCTTTACGATTGTTCTCCTCTTTTGAGTCGACTCAAAAGTCAACTCTCCATGTGTTTGGTCTCCTTTTTACGATTGTTCTCCTCTTTCGAGTCGACTCAAAAGTCAACTCTCCATGGGTTTGGTCTCCTTTTTACGATTGTTCTCCTCTTTTGAGTCGACTCAAAAGTCAACTCTCCATGGGTTTGGTCTCCTCTTTACGATTGTTCTCCTCTTTTGAGTCGACTCAAAAGTCAACTCTCCATGGGTTTGGTCTCCTTTTTACGATTGTTCTCCTCTTTTGAGTCGACTCAAAAGTCAACTCTCCATGGGTCTGGTCTCCTTTTTACGATTGTTCTCCTCTTTTGAGTCGACTCAAAAGTCAACTCTCCATGTGTTTGGTCTCCTTTTTACGATTGTTCTCCTCTTTTGAGTCGACTCAAAAGTCAACTCTCCATGTGTTTGGTCTCCTTTTTACGATTGGTCTCCTCTTTTGAGTCGACTCAAAAGTCAACTCTCCATGTGTTTGGTCTCCTTTTTACGATTGGTCTCCTCTTTTGAGTCGACTCAAAAGTCAACTCTCCATGGGTTTGGTCTCCTTTTTACGATTGGTCTCCTCTTTTGAGTCGACTCAAAAGTCAACTCTCCATGGGTTTGGTCTCCTTTTTACGATTGTTCTCCTCTTTTGAGTCGACTCAAAAGTCAACTCTCCATGGGTTTGGTCTCCTTTTTACGATTGTTGTCCTCTTTTGAGTCGACTCAAAAGTCAACTCTCCATGGGTTTGGTCTCCTTTTTACGATTGTTCTCCTCTTTTGAGTCGACTCAAAAGTCAACTCTCCATGTGTTTGGTCTCCTTTTTACGATTGTTCTCCTCTTTTGAGTCGACTCAAAAGTCAACTCTCCATGGGTTTGGTCTCCTTTTTACGATTGTTCTCCTCTTTTGAGTCGACTCAAAAGTCAACTCTCCATGTGTTTGGTCTCCTTTTTACGATTGTTCTCCTCTTTCGAGTCGACTCAAAAGTCAACTCTCCATGTGTTTGGTCTCCTTTTTACGATTGTTCTCCTCTTTTGAGTCGACTCAAAAGTCAACTCTCCATGGGTTTGGTCTCCTTTTTACGATTGTTCTCCTCTTTTGAGTCGACTCAAAAGTCAACTCTCCATGGGTTTGGTCTCCTTTTTACGATTGGTCTCCTCTTTTGAGTCGACTCAAAAGTCAACTCTCCATGGGTTTGGTCTCCTTTTTACGATTGTTCTCCTCTTTTGAGTCGACTCAAAAGTCAACTCTCCATGGGTTTGGTCTCCTTTTTACGATTGTTCTCCTCTTTTGAGTCGACTCAAAAGTCAACTCTCCATGGGTTTGGTCTCCTCTTTACGATTGTTCTCCTCTTTTGAGTCGACTCAAAAGTCAACTCTCCATGGGTTTGGTCTCCTTTTTACGATTGTTCTCCTCTTTTGAGTCGACTCAAAAGTCAACTCTCCATGGGTTTGGTCTCCTTTTTACGATTGTTCTCCTCTTTTGAGTCGACTCAAAAGTCAACTCTCCATGGGTTTGGTCTCCTTTTTACGATTGTTCTCCTCTTTTGAGTCGACTCAAAAGTCAACTCTCCATGGGTTTGGTCTCCTTTTTACGATTGTTCTCCTCTTTTGAGTCGACTCAAAAGTCAACTCTCCATGGGTTTGGTCTCCTTTTTACGATTGTTCTCCTCTTTTGAGTCGACTCAAAAGTCAACTCTCCATGGGTTTGGTCTCCTTTTTACGATTGTTCTCCTCTTTTGAGTCGACTCAAAAGTCAACTCTCCATGTGTTTGGTCTCCTTTTTACGATTGTTCTCCTCTTTTGAGTCGACTCAAAAGTCAACCCTCCATGGGTTTGGTCTCCTTTTTACGATTGTTCTCCTCTTTTGAGTCGACTCAAAAGTCAACTCTCCATGGGTCTGGTCTCCTTTTTACGATTGTTCTCCTCTTTTGAGTCGACTCAAAAGTCAACTCTCCATGTGTTTGGTCTCCTTTTTACGATTGTTCTCCTCTTTTGAGTCGACTCAAAAGTCAACTCTCCATGTGTTTGGTCTCCTTTTTACGATTGGTCTCCTCTTTTGAGTCGACTCAAAAGTCAACTCTCCATGGGTTTGGTCTCCTTTTTACGATTGGTCTCCTCTTTTGAGTCGACTCAAAAGTCAACTCTCCATGGGTTTGGTCTCCTTTTTACGATTGTTGTCCTCTTTTGAGTCGACTCAAAAGTCAACTCTCCATGGGTTTGGTCTCCTTTTTACGATTGTTCTCCTCTTTTGAGTCGACTCAAAAGTCAACTCTCCATGTGTTTGGTCTCCTTTTTACGATTGTTCTCCTCTTTCGAGTCGACTCAAAAGTCAACTCTCCATGTGTTTGGTCTCCTTTTTACGATTGTTCTCCTCTTTTGAGTCGACTCAAAAGTCAACTCTCCATGGGTTTGGTCTCCTTTTTACGATTGTTCTCCTCTTTTGAGTCGACTCAAAAGTCAACTCTCCATGTGTTTGGTCTCCTTTTTACGATTGTTCTCCTCTTTTGAGTCGACTCAAAAGTCAACTCTCCATGGGTTTGGTCTCCTTTTTACGATTGTTCTCCTCTTTTGAGTCGACTCAAAAGTCAACTCTCCATGGGTTTGGTCTCCTTTTTACGATTGTTCTCCTCTTTTGAGTCGACTCAAAAGTCAACTCTCCATGGGTTTGGTCTCCTTTTTACGATTGTTCTCCTCTTTTGAGTCGACTCAAAAGTCAACTCTCCATGGGTTTGGTCTCCTTTTTACGATTGTTCTCCTCTTTTGAGTCGACTCAAAAGTCAACTCTCCATGGGTTTGGTCTCCTTTTTACGATTGTTCTCCTCTTTTGAGTCGACTCAAAAGTCAACTCTCCATGGGTTTGGTCTCCTTTTTACGATTGTTCTCCTCTTTTGAGTCGACTCAAAAGTCAACTCTCCATGGGTTTGGTCTCCTTTTTACGATTGTTCTCCTCTTTTGAGTCGACTCAAAAGTCAACTCTCCATGGGTTTGGTCTCCTTTTTACGATTGTTCTCCTCTCGCTGCATGCCTCCACCTCGTGCCCTCTCCCTCCCCAATGTGTGCGTCACCTGGCGAGGCAGGAGCAGCAAGAGCACGCAGGCGGCTGTTGGTGGAGCCAGCAGGGACGGTGGAGGGTTTGCAAGCAGCAGTGGCGGCAGTGGAGGCGGAAATGGCGGCAATGAAAACCAAGATGAGCGACCTGGCAGTGAGTGAGCTGGCATGCGCCTTGTGTGTCTCAAGCAGTCCTTCATGGATAGGTTCATAGAGGTACAGGCATGGCAAGAACAGGTGCAGAACAGACCTAGTTCTATGAGCAACCAGTTATGCAGGGCAGGGCCAAGGCGGGCACATCGAGCAGCCAGAGGAAGGCCAGGCTAGCAAACCAACGGTACCAGCAGGTCAGGACCTTGAGGGCAAGGGCGGAAAGGCAAGGCACACCAGGCAAGGCAGGCAGGCAAGGCATGGCATGGCCAAACCAAGCAAGGCAAGGCAAGGTAAACAAGACAAGGCAAGAGCGGCAATGCAGGTGGCTAACACTCAGCTAAACACCTATCCCGCGCGGTTATCCTGCTTACTGACCCATCACCCCGTCCATCTCATCCTCGAGGACTTGCCAGAGGTCCCCTAGGTTAGGTTCCCAGGGGTCCCTGGCCGTCTGTGAGAAGGCTGCCACGTCCCCTATGTTCGACTTGTTCAGGAATGACGTGGCCTGTGAGCGCTGGAGCATGACACTGAAGCGCTGCCTGTAGTGAGCGGTGAGCCGTGCAGTGGTGGTGGTGATCTTCCCCTGGCGGAACCTCCTTTTCGCCGCCGAGGTTGCTAGCAGGCGGATAAACTGCTGTGTATCCGTAGCTAGGGCACCGTACGTCTCCACTGCCAACCCAAAGAATCCCATGTAATCAGGCCGCCCCTCATAGATCCTGTGTTTCCTCTCTGAAGCTTCTCTTGCCGCCCATCTAGGTGGCTTCCGGGCACGTTTGTCGCGGCACTGCAGCACTGGGTCAGTCACTGTCACGTCCGTGACCCATGTCTCATTCGACTCCTTGTCTCGTATAGCAAGATCCCCTCTCTTCCTTATCACCGCTGGGGAGAAGGCAGTGGTTTCGTGGAAAACAGTGAAGTCGGCCTCCTTTGCCATCCTTTGGCAGTGGTTTTGTGTGTCTCTCTCTTGGTGCCCCATGACCTCTCTTCTCCCGCATCCCTCTGTTCGCATCTCTTTCCGCTTCATGCCCCCTCTCTCTTCCTGCTCAGCCTTATTCGCTCTCGCTTCCTCTCTTTCCCTTGCTATCTTCACATTGCGTGCATCCTTACTACTACCAGACCAGGTGGCAACAGAGCAACTGGCAAGGGAAGCGGGCAACATGCGCGCAGTGCTGAAGCAAAAATTCCTCACGCCCATTCCGTCCCCCCTTGCTGTCCTACTGTGCTCCCTCTCTACCAGGTGGCAACAGAGCAGGTTGCTACGGAGGCGGGTAACTTGCGGGCAGTGTTGCAGGGCGAGGGGCACTGGGCCACGGCCAACCTCACCCGCCATGTAAGTAGTGCAATTGTCGTGATGTGCTTGCTAGCACCGCACTTGCCATAAGAGAGAAGGAGAGAAAGAGATGACTGCTGGGTCAACTCAAAAGCCACCCCCGGTGTTGTAGGGCGAGGGGCACTGGGCCACGGACAGCCAACCTCACGCGCCATGTACTGAAATCTCTGTGATCTTCTTGCACCGCACCGCACCGCACTTGCCATAAGCCATAAGAAGGATGGAGAGACAGAGATGATTGTTGACTCGATTTTAAAACTACCCAGTGTTGCAGGGCGAGGTGCACTGGGCCACCGCCAACCTCACCCCCCATGTATGCACCACAATTCATATGATTTTCTCGCATGGCACTGTTGAGAGAGAGGAATAGAAAGGGATGACTGTTGAGTTGACTCAAAAGCTACCCAGTGCTGCAGTGCTGCAGGGCTGCAGGCCAACCTCACCCGCCATGTACCTCCCAGTGAACGCGCTGTGTTGCCTGTGTTGTGAGTTATTATCTCAGAATGTACCTTATCATTCGCACAGCCCTTGCCACAAGAGCCTCTCTGTGCTGCTTCGCTGGTCCCTCAGTGCCCTCTTCCCGTCCTCCACGCTGCCACCACACCTCACTTGTTCGGCCCAATCACATATTGCACTGCACTGCACTGCACTGCACCGCACTGCACTGCACCGCACTGCGTTTTCCTGCCACTCCGCATGTCCTGCAATCATTCCATTGAAGCCCTCTTCCAACCACAGACTATTTTGTCATGCTCAGTGCTCACCCTCCCATGCCCAACCTCTCTTATGCCCAACCTCTCTTATGCCCAACCTCTCTTATGCCCAACCTCTCTTATGCCCAACCTCTCTTATGCGCAACCTCTCTTATGCCCAACCTCTCTTATGCCCAACCTCTCTTATGCCCAACCTCTCTTATGCCCAACCTCTCTTATGCCCAACCTCTCTTATGCCCAACCTCTCTTATGCCCAACCTCTCTTATGCCCAACCTCTCTTATGCCCAACCTCTCTTATGCCCAACCTCTCTTATGCCCAACCTCTCTTATGCCCAACCTCTCTTATGCCCAACCTCTCTTATGCCCAACCTCTCTTATGCCCACTCCTTCCCATTTTCTCCCTGCCCCCTGTCCTTCGTTCCGCCGCCCCTTCCCCTCCCCCCCCCCCCCTTTTCTCAGTTCCTGCTTTCCACTGCGCCCTCTCATCCCGACCGCTGTGCCGTGCTGTCTCTCGACCGCCGGGCACTGCAGAGGCAGTCCAAGCGCGGCCCCAAGGGCCCTCCGCTCTCCTGGAAGGTCAGCACAGCCCACACCCAGCCCCACCTAGCCCTACCCAACCCCACCTAGCCACAACCAGCCTCACTCATCCCGACCGCTGTGCCGTGCTATCTCCCGACCGCCGGGCACTGCAGAGGCAGTCGAAGCGCGGCCCCAAGGGCCCTCCTCTCTCGTGGAAGGTCAGTGCAACTCCATTCTCCCCCAACCAGCCACGCCCAATTTGCGTGACCCAGCCCATCTCTCTGCTGCTTCAGATATGTACACAGACTGCTTGTGAGGCGCCTCTGAACTCATCTCTCTGCCCTCTCGGAGTCACTCCTGAGAATTCTCACAAGCTCCCCCATAAAACTACAGGGCTATGCATGCGAGGCAGCACCATCACAAATCCAAAAGTACACGGATGTGGAAGGAGGGTTCTATGTCTGGACGACTGGTTCTTCATGCAAGAGCTGGCCTTCCTTATCCCTGCCACCCCCCTGCACCCCCCTGCACCCCCCTTGTATGGCAGGGCTATGCATGTGAGGCGGCACCGTCGCAAATCCAGAAGTACACAGATGTGGAAGCAAGAGCGCTGTGCCCCGACGACTGGTTCTTCGTGCAAGAGCTCGTGTTTCTTAAGAACTGCTTCTCCCTGCCGCCCCGCCGCTGCCTCGCCCGCACGCCACAGCAACCCACAGAGGTGAGAGGTGGAAGTGAGGGGGGCGGTGGAAGTGAGGGGTGCGGTTGAATAGAGAGGTGGGAGGTAGGAGGGGAGAGATGAGAGAGGTGCTGTTGATGTACTATGACAGTGGTAGAACTGGCCTAAAATAATGGTTCTGCAACTAGGAATTCTGCAACTAGGAATTCTGCAACTAGGAATTCTGCAACTAGGAATTCTGCAACTAGGAATTCTGCAACTAGGAATTCTGCAACTAGGAATTCTGCAACTAGGAATTCTGCAACTAGGAATTCTGCAACTAGGAATTCTGCAACTAGGAATTCTGCAACTAGGAATTCTGCTACTAGGAATTCTGCAACTAGGAATTCTGCAACTAGGAATTCTGCTACTAGGAATTCTGCAACTAGGAATTCTGCAACTAGGAATTCTGCTACTAGGAATTCTGCAACTAGGAATTCTGCAACTAGGAATTCTGCTACTAGGAATTCTGCTACTAGGAATTCTGCAACTAGGAATTCTGCAACTAGGAATTCTGCAACTAGGAATTCTGCAACTAGGAATTCTGCAACTAGGAATTCTGCTACTAGGAATTCTGCTACTAGGAATTCTGCAACTAGGAATTCTGCTACTAGGAATTCTGCAACTAGGAATTCTGCTACTAGGAATTCTGCAACTAGGAATTCTGCAACTAGGAATTCTGCTACTAGGAATTCTGCTACTAGGAATTCTGCAACTAGGAATTCTGCAACTAGGAATTCTGCTACTAGGAATTCTGCAACTAGGAATTCTGCAACTAGGAATTCTGCTACTAGGAATTCTGCAACTAGGAATTCTGCTACTAGGAATTCTGCATTGAACTTAGCAGGTGAACCGCTGAAACACACTCCTGCTGCCATCCCTCAACCCTCAAACCCTCCCTCCACCTGCCCCCTTTCCTTCTCCCCCATTCCCCCTTCCCTCCTCCGTTTTCTACCTTTCCCCTTCCCCCTACTTCCTTCCCCCTTCTCGCTTCCTCTTTGCCCCAGCCACTACCATTCCCACAATCCCTATTCGATCGAGCAGCCTAAGCAGACGGGGGGGTGCGGTGGGAGCAGCAGCAGTGCGGGTCGTTCCACTGCCTCAACACGCGAGCACTGGGCGACTGTCGCAACTGCTTCAACCTCTCCCCCCCTTGTCCCCCTTCCCCCTTCCCCCTTCCCCCCTCCCTCTCCTTTTTCCCCCATTCCCCCAGCCGCTGCCGTTCCCACAATCCCTATTCGATCAAGCCTCCTTAGCAGACGGGGGGGTGAGGTGGGAGCAGCAGCAGTGCGGGTCCTTCCACTGCCTCAACACGCGCGCACTGGGCGACTGTCGCAACTGCTTCAACCTCTCCCCCCCTTGTCCCCCTTCCCCCTTCCCCCTTCCCCCCTCCCTCTCCTTTTTCCCCCATTCCCCCAGCCGCTGCCGTTCCCACAATCCCTATTCGATCAAGCCTCCTTAGCAGACGGGGGGGTGAGGTGGGAGCAGCAGCAGTGCGGGTCCTTCCACTGCCTCAACACGCGCGCACTGGGCGACTGTCGCAACTGCTTCAACCTCTCGCTAGAGAGCCACCGCTGGCAGCACCGCTTCCGAGGCAACCCCACCATGCAGGACGTGCTGCAACTCAAAAACGGTTCCCTCAGGTGCGCCCCTGCCTGCCTTTCTCCGCATGCTGCTGTCTGCCTGGGAACGCCACTGCCTACATGCATGCACCGTAGCCTGAGCTTGGTTGGTGCTCGTGCCTAGCACTCCGGTCGCTCGCGCACTGGGCGACTGTCGCAACTGCTTCAACCTCTCACTCGAGAGCCACCACTGGCAGCACCGCTTCTGAGGCAACCCCACCATGCAGGACGTGCTGCAACTCATAAACGGCTCCCTCAGGTGCGCACTGCTTTTCGTAGCCACGTTTTGGGACGTCTCAAAGGCAACCCCAGCATGCACGACGTGCTGCGACTCAAAAACGGCTCCCTCAGGTGCGTTGAAACGGCACTCTCAGGTGCCCGCGTGCCTGTTGTTGCGAGTTAAAAGAACGGCATGCTGCAATATGAAGAGTGGTTCAGCCGAGTCTGCCTGGACTGCCAACACACACTACCCTGGGCGGGGACAGCCCTGTCCCTTGTGTGTGCTCTACGTGTCTCACACATTTACTTTCTTGCATTGCTCTACTCGCTGCAGGCTCGGACTCGACGTGGGGGGCGGCACGGGGAGCTTTGCGGCGCACATGGCACGGCACGGGGTGACGGTGATGACGACAGCCATGAACTACGAGACCGTGTCGGGGCGCCATGCAGGGCTGCCCTACTTTGAAGCCATCGCTATGCGCGGCCTCATCCCGCTCTTCCTCCCCCATAAGGTATTATTGTGCCTCCCTCACAAGGTGCCCACCATGCTCCAGTGTCCCCAGCCTTGACTGGCCTCGGGCCTACCATGAGTTTTGCGATTGAGTTTTGCGACTCCTAGCCCTGCACTTGCTACGTTCCATCCCCGTAGCCTCTGTTGTTGTTGAGTTCTAAAAACATGCCTCTGCAGGACCCGCCCTCATTCCTGCCTCCCCTTGCCATTCTTTCATGTCCTGCCCCCGCGCCTGTCCACCCCCCCGGCTGTGCTCTGTGCCATTCTTCCTCACCAGGCGAGGCTGCCATTCTACGACAACACGTTGGACGTGATTCACAGTGTCAACAGTGTCAAGTACATGCCCGTGCTCGAGTTTGAAGACCTCGTCTTCGAATGGGACCGCGTGCTCAGACCAGGTTAGTCCTTATATTGGTATCCGTGTCGTAACCACAACAGCGTCAACAGCGTCAAGTACATGCCCGTGCTCGAGTTTGAAGAGCTCGTCTTTGAGTGGGACCGCGTGCTCAGACCAGGTAAGTGCCTCCCTTGTTGCATCCAGGTCAGCCCCCCTCTTGCTTGCTCTGACCAGGTGAGTCCCCCCCTTGGCTTGCTCAGGTCAGGTCAGCCCCCCACGTGCAACAGTGTCAAGTACATGCCCGTGGTGGAGTTTGAAAAACTTGTGTTCGAGTGGGACCGCATTCTCAGACCAGGTCAGTGCCTCTCCTGATGCTCCGACAGGTCAGGACCCCCCTTGCTCAGACCACAGTGTGAACAGCACCCGTGCTCAAGTTTGCAGAGCTCGTCTTTGAGTGGGACCGCGTGCTCAGACCAGGTGAGTGCCTCCCATGTCCACACCTGGTCAGGCCCATGCAGCAGCCCAACCTACCGCACCTGCATTGCCTGCACTCACAGCCAGCAAGCGAACCGCAACGAGCCGTGTGCTATGCTCATCGCAAGCTTGAACAAGCCCATCTTCTTGTACTCACTTCCTTCTCTCGTCTCGCACCAACCCCACCCCACCCCCTGTATCCCAGGTGGCCTCATGTGGTTTGAGATGTTCTACGCACCAGTAGATGGCATGGTGCTGCATGTGGCCGTGCTGTAGATTACATGCGAGGCACATATAACCTTGCCTCACCCCACCCTAACCTGTTCCTGTCTGTCCCCCAGGCGGCCTCATGTGGTTTGAGATGTTTTATGCGCCAGTAGACGACATGGTGCTCTATGTGGCCGTGCTGCAGCAGCTGCGCTACCGCCGCCTGCACTGGACGCTCATGCCCACTCCACCCTAACCCACCCCACCCCACTCCGCTCCTGTCCCCCAGGCGGCGTCAGTGACCTGGTCTCAGTGACCTGGTCTCTCAGTGACCTGGTCTCAGTGACCTGGTCTCAGTGACCTGGTCTCAGTGACCTGGTCTCAGTGACCTGGTCTCAGTGACCTGTTCGACCCCACCCAACCCTACCCCATCCCATTCCATTCCAACCCCCTTTCCCAGGCGGCCTCATGTGGTTTGAGATGTTCTATGCACCGGTAGATGACATGGTGCTCTATGTGGCTGTGCTACAGCAACTGCGCTACCGTCGCCTGCACTGGACGCTCATGCCCACTCCACCCTAACCCACCCCACCCCACTCCACTCCTCTCCCCCAGGTGGCCTCATGTGGTTTGAGATGTTCTACGCGCCAGTGGACGACATGGTGCTCTATGTGGCCGTGCTGCAGCAGCTGCGCTACCGCCGCCTGCACTGGACGCTCATGCCCAAGCCCGACCGCGGGGAGATAGAGGCACACCAGCTCTACTTGAACTGCGTTATTGAGAAACCTGCTAGACGAAATGCACTCAAACCTGTTGAATTCGTCTAAGCATGTCTTGCTGTTGTGCTTTATATAATTCGTTTCTTGTTTTTTTTTTTTTCACCAGCTGGAGTTTTTTCGTTTCCTCTGCAAACCAGACCTGACCAGAGCACTGTGAGGTCCTCACGCTTGTTGCCTCTGTGTGCATGGTGCTGTACTGATGTGTCTCACGCAGTAGCGGGAGGGAACTCTGCAGTTTTCAGGTGAGTGCAGCAGAATGTTGGGAGAGCTGCTGCTCTTGCCATGTGTTTTCCCACCATAGTGGCTGTGTCTGTGTGCGCATTGCTTGCATGACAGGAGACAAGGATCTGTGGTCATATTGCTCATATGCTCATAGGATGTTAGTTATTTCAACTGGGACTTGCACAAACATCGATCCGACAGGTTTCCCTACCCACATCACTCCCTGCCACCACTCCACAACCACACGCCCCTCTATGACGCGGCCCTAATAACCCCCCCGCACTCACGACGAGTACAGCTTCGTGATCCGCCGCGCTGCCTCCTCAATGTTCGCACGGCTCCCAAACGCACTCGCACGCACGAACCCCTCCCCACCGGGCCCAAACCCGCTCCCAGGCGTGGTGACAATATCAGCCTTCTCCAGAATCTCAGCAAACACGTCCCAGGAGGAGCGCCCAGGGAAGCGCACCCACACGTACGGCGCATTGTCCCCCCCGTGCGTCTCATAGCCCAGGGATTGAAATGTGGCCTTGAGAATGGCTGCATTGGCCTTGTAAAACGACACCAGCGTTGCCATGGCCTCGAGGCCCTCAGGAGAGAGGCACGCAAGGCCTCCTGCCTGGGAGACGTTACTGGCGCCGTTGAAGCATGTGCAGGTGACACGGTTGAAATCCGCGCGCACTGGATGGCCGTCCGTGTAGCGCAGTGCTGCCGGGACCACGGACCAGCCCAGACGCACGCCGGTGAAGCCAGCGTACTTGGAGAAAGAGCCTGTTTCAATGGCCACCTGCGGGACGAGGGAGGGTTTGAGGGGGGAAGAGGGGGGCAGTTGAAATCCGCGCGCACTGGATGGCCGTCCGTGTAGCGCAGTGCTGCTGCGACCACGGACCAGCCCAGACGCACACCTGTGAAGCCCGCGTACTTGGAGAAAGAGCCAGTTTCAGTGGCCACCTGTGGATAGGATGGGGGCAAGGTTGGGGGGTGGCGAGAGGGAAGGGTTGAAGAAGGGGAGCAAAGAGACGTAGTGCAGGTCAAAGGTCACAACTATAGAACCAGCACGCTCAGGCCATTCATGCCCCCCCTGTCCCACCTGATGTGCACCCGGGATCTCGTAGATGGACTTGGAAAGGTCATCCTGGATGTAGATGGCGTATGCACAGTCATACTCGATGGCGGACCCATTGATGTTGGCATGGCTCATGGGTCATAACAACCAAGGAACCCTCACTGTCAGGCCATTCATGCCCCCGAGGTCCCACCCACCTCATCTGCGCCAGGAATCTCGTAAATGGACTTGGACGAGTCATTTTCGATGTAGATGGCATACGCACAGTCATACACGATAATGGACCCCTTGAGTAAACAAACAGCACTCCAAGGCCATTCATTATGCAGCTCTCACCTCATCGGCGCCAGGAATCTCATAGATGGACTTGGGCGAGTCGTCCTCAATGTAGATGGCATACGCGCAGTCATACACGACGATGGACCCGTTGAGAAAACGAACGGACAGCACTCCAAGGCCATTCATTATGCACCCACCTCATCGGCGCCCGGGATCTCGTAGATGGACTTGGGCGAGTCATCCTCGATGTAGATGGCATACGCGCAGTCATACACGATGATGGACCCGTTGGCACGTGCAAAGTCCACCAGCTGCTGCAGCTGCTGCCGTGATGCCGCCCGCCCTGCATGTAGGGAAAGGGGAGCGGGGAGGGAGAGAGAGGGAGAGGATTTGAGAAACGGGAGGAAGGTGGGCGGGCGCTGCAGGATTAAGAGAGGGGATGAGGAATGGGAGGAGAGATATGTGTGCTGACCGGTGGGGTTGTTGGGCGAGCCGAAGAAGATGATACCATTGCAGGGTGCAGAGGCGAGGTGGGGAAGCTGATGCTGGTGCGGTTGATGGGCTTTAAGGAGCGCTCAACTCACCGGTGGGGTTGTTGAGCGAGCAGAAGAAGATGATGTCGGTGCGTGGCACAGAGGCAAGGTCCGGGAAAAGGTCGTTCTCAGGCGTGCAGCGCAGATACATAATGAGCAAAACAGCTGACATTTGAGTGGACTCAAAACTCACCGGTGGGGTTGTTGGGCGAGCAGAAGAAGATGATGTCAGTGCGAGGTGCAGAGGCAAGGTCTGGGAAGAAGTCGTTTTCGGGTGAGCAGCGCAGGTACGTCACGTTGCCAAACTGCTGCGTGTCCGGGGCGTACAGCCCCGTCTGTCCCATTATCACACTCGTGTCCACGTATGCCTGATGGGAGACAGGGGGGAGTAGGGAAATGTGAAGGGAGAAAACGATGTTTTTGGGTGAGCAGCGCAGGCAGGTAGGTGATGTTATCAGACTGCTGCGTGTCCGGTGCGTACAGCCCCGTCTGTCCCATCATCACACTCGTGTCCACGTACGCCTGATGGGAGACAAGGGGGGGAGGGGGGGTGGGAAATGTGTAGGGAGCAAAAGTCGTTTGCAGGTGAGCAGCGCAGGTTGTTGATGCTATCAAACTGCTGCATCTCAGGCACGTACAGCCCAGTCTGCCCTATCATCACACTCGTGTCCACGTATGCATGCCATGTCACAGTCATAGTTGTGTCATGTCATGCCATGCCATGCCATGCCATGCCGTGCCATGCCGTGCCACGCGCACGCAGCAACCCACGGGGCAGAGGGATGCATGAGGCTGGCAATGGTGGCAGCAGTGGGGACGGCTCTAACAGCAGGGACAGTGGGGATAGGGAGGCACTGAATGACGCAGTGATGAGGAGGGAATGAGGATGGGAGGACTAGGATGGGGGGGCGAGGATGGGAGGGCGAGGATGGGAGGGCGAGGATGGGAGGGCGAGGATGGGAGGGCGAGGATGGGAGGGCGAGGATGGGAGGGCGAGGATGGGAGGGCGAGGATGGGAGGGCGAGGATGGGAGGGCGAGGATGGGAGGGCGAGGATGGGAGGGCGAGGATGGGAGGGCGAGGATGGGAGGGCGAGGATGGGAGGGCGAGGATGGGAGGGCGAGGATGGGAGGGCGAGGATGGGAGGGCGAGGATGGGAGGGCGAGGATGGGAGGGCGAGGATGGGAGGGCGAGGATGGGAGGGCGAGGATGGGAGGGCGAGGATGGGAGGGCGAGGATGGGAGGGCGAGGATGGGAGGGCGAGGATGGGAGGGCGAGGATGGGAGGGCGAGGATGGGAGGGCGAGGATGGGAGGGCGAGGATGGGAGGGCGAGGATGGGAGGGCGAGGATGGGAGGGCGAGGATGGGAGGGCGAGGATGGGAGGGCGAGGATGGGAGGGCGAGGATGGGAGGGCGAGGATGGGAGGGCGAGGATGGGAGGGCGAGGATGGGAGGGCGAGGATGGGAGGGCGAGGATGGGAGGGCGAGGATGGGAGGGCGAGGATGGGAGGGCGAGGATGGGAGGGCGAGGATGGGAGGGCGAGGATGGGAGGGCGAGGATGGGAGGGCGAGGATGGGAGGGCGAGGATGGGAGGGCGAGGATGGGAGGGCGAGGATGGGAGGGCGAGGATGGGAGGGCGAGGATGCGAAGGGCGAGGATGGGAGGGCGAGGATGGGAGGGCGAGGATGGGAGGGCGAGGATGGGAGGGCGAGGATGGGAGGGCGAGGATGGGAGGGCGAGGATGGGAGGGCGAGGATGGGAGGGCGAGGATGGGAGGGCGAGGATGGGAGGGCGAGGATAGGGAGGGCGAGGATGGGAGGGCGAGGATGGGAGGGCGAGGATGGGAGGGCGAGGATGGGAGGGCGAGGATGGGAGGGCGAGGATGGGAGGGCGAGGATGGGAGGGCGAGGATGGGAGGGCGAGGATGGGAGGGCGAGGATGGGAGGGCGAGGATGGGAGGGCGAGGATGGGAGGGCGAGGATGGGAGGGCGAGGACTGGGAGGGCGAGGATGGGAGGGCGAGGATGGGAGGGCGAGGATGGGAGGGCGAGGATGGGAGGGCGAGGATGGGAGGGCGAGGATGGGAGGGCGAGGATGGGAGGGCGAGGATGGGAGGGCGAGGATGGGAGGGCGAGGATGGGAGGGCGAGGATGGGAGGGCGAGGATGGAGGGCGAGGATGGGAGGCGAGGATGGGAGGGCGAGGATGGGAGGGCGAGGATGGGAGGGCGAGGATGGGAGGGCGAGGATGGGAGGGCGAGGATGGGAGGGCGAGGATGGGAGGGCGAGGATGGGAGGGCGAGGATGGGAGGGCGAGGATGGGAGGGCGAGGATGGGAGGGCGAGGATGGGAGGGCGAGGATGGGGGAGGGAGGCGAGGAATGGGAGGGCGAGGATGGGAGGGCGAGGATGGGGGAGTGGCGAGGATGGGAGGGCGAGGATGGGAGGGCGAGGATGGGAGGGCGAGGATGGGAGGGCGAGGATGGGAGGGCGAGGATGGGAGGGCGAGGATGGGAGGGCGAGGATGGGAGGGGCGAGGATGGGAGGGCGAGGATGGGAGGGCGAGGATGGAGGGCGAGGATGGGAGGGCGAGGATGGGGAGGGCGAGGATGGGAGGGCGAGGATGGGAGGGGGCGAGGATGGGAGGGCGAGGATGGGAGGGCGAGGATGGAGGGCGAGGATGGAGGCGAGGATTGGGAGGGCGAGGATGGGAGGGCGAGGATGGGAGGGCGAGGATGGGGAGGGCGAGGATCGGGAGGGCGAGGATGGGAGGGCGAGGATGGGAGGGCGAGGATGGGAGGGCGAGGATGGGAGGGCGAGGATGGGAGGGCGAGGATGGGAGGGCGAGGATGGGAGGGCGAGGATGGGAGGGCGAGGATGGGAGGGCGAGGATGGGAGGGCGAGGATGGGAGGGCGAGGATGGGAGGGCGAGGATGGGAGGGCGAGGATGGG